TACGTACTCTCTCTCTCTCTCTCTCGCGACGTATATATATATATATATATATATATATATATATGTGTGTGTGTGTGTGTGTGTAATTATATATATACGAAAAACCTTTCTCTTCCACCTGTATGTTCTCACAACTGCCCTCATTATATTGATGGTTTGCTGTCATGGTGCAGCTGCATCGGTGAATAAACCGAGTATGGTGATAGTTTGGTTTTAAATGGGTACACGTGGATCTTTTCGTTATTTTTATTTTTTATTTTATTTTAGTTTCTAGCCAATCAAATGATCATAATACATCCATGCATTTTATTTATCATTGTTGTAAGGTTTAGTACTCTAAATCAATATTATTCATCAATGTTGCTTTGTGAATGCAATGATCTCTGCACATGTTCTTGTTCTACTCTCTAATGATGCACACGAATTATTAGATTTTTCGTTCCTCGCGTCTCTCTCTGAACTCTTCTCCTGTCCTCTATGTTGAGGTTTTGGCTTAGAATCACTGTTTGAAAATAAGGACTTGGGCTCCCCAGGGTCGGAAGCCTTAGTCAGCAGTTCAACTAGGCTGAGTTCGGTGGCTGAGCCAGCGGTCTAACTCAGGTGAGTCTTTGTTAAAAAATACGTTGTTGTTCTAGGACCTGGTCAGGTTCGGGGCAAGTATAGGGATATTGGACTGGAACAGGCACCCTACCCATTGGGAGAAGTCAGGGTTCGGTGCATATTTAGACAGTTTTGTATCATTGCCTGTGAAGTATGAACAACTCCTCTATGGTTTGTCTTCCTCTTCGATGGAAAATTCCGCATTATTTTGTACATCCTTTGAAAGGGTATTCTTCTTCTTTAACGTTGCGAAATTGGATTTGTTAGATTATACATTGGAGTGTTAGCTCACTCAGAAATTAGGCGTGACTTAAGATGAGTGTCAGTTTTTCCTTCTGATTTTATGGAAAATTGGGAAAATTGGGAAACATGGAACATTTGAGCTCTGAAAGCTGTTGAACCCTTGTTTGGTAACTAGGGGTACAAAGGGCAAGAGCCGGGCTTGTATTTAAGGTTTTATTAGCCTAACGGGCCTGGCTCTGGCCTTAGTAATAAGGCTCGATGGGCCCATATTACATGTTTTTTCAGCTTAGTAGGGAATCAATGGGCTGGGCAGCCAAATGGCCTTTGAGGTCCAGCCTGACACGAGCTGGTTTTCGGCCCCTTCCTAGGGCTTCTGGAACTGGGCCTGACTCTGTTCGCTTATTGTATTGGGCACAGGTCTGCCTTGTCCCGGTTGTCTTGGGCCACATGCACCTACCAGCAATCAATCTGTTTGGGTTCCATGGTTGTTTTAATTTCTATTGTTTGCAACCTTATAATATAGAAGTAAGGTGGAGCTCAAACATCTAGTAGAAAAAAGTATTCCGAAGTTTATTTTGTAATGAGTTATTTAGACCATCAATTTTTAAGATTTTATATTGTTTATAGATCTATTCGTTTTGCATTATTTTTGAAATGTTTAATGTCACGATTAGGATTGAACATAGATTTTCAAGCTATTGTAAGGTATCTGACACTGGAACTTTCTTTGAGGAGTGCCTTACTTGTAGAGTATAAGGTGGGCACCTTATGCAAGGCTCACCCTTTGGAAATTAGTTTGTTTAACAGTTCATTACATAATTCATAGATTGGAATTACATTTATTTATTGAATGAGATTTTTTCGTCATAATCCATCCATTACAGAATAGGTGGTTCTTATAAAACACTTGAGTCAATCTCTCTCTCTCTCTCTGTCTCTGGTTTTCTCTTGGTTCGTAATACCCCATCCATAGAAGAAATTTTCTCATCTCTGTGTTTTTAGTTCTCTTAGTTCGTAATGCCCCTCAGCAATAACAAAATTGATGGTATAGATCTATACTTCTTGATTCACATTCTCTCTGATATTCTCTTTTGTGTGTTTCTCTTGTTGTGCTTTCTCTTAGTATTTAGAACTTAGATCAAACAAGGCAGAAAATTAAAATTTTATATCATCTTAGGGGGGAAAACTAAATGGAAAAAGTTTATATAAGGTTGCCTTAAAATGTAAAATTACAGATGCACCTCAAAAATCTATCGAAAAGGTTGTTTTAATGTTGAAAAACCTTTTAATTGATCATCTCGACATTGAGATGTATGAATATGAAAAAACAAGGTTTAAAGTCCCAAAAACAGTGCATCTGGCAACACATTATCTAGACCATTCATTTTCAAGATTTTCATACGTTTGTAGATCTACTTGATTTTAACTATTTTTGGAGTTTAAAAGTTTCTGAAGGCAAGGATTTCATGAAGTGTCGTTGCATGATACTATAATACACCTGTTACATTGGATCATTGCTCTTTTCTCAAGTTTGTAATACAAGCACTTCGGTTTAGGAAAAGTACACTAGTACCTTCTTATTACCAAGTAGGATGTAACCTGTTTCCTGTTGATTGATTCCAACAATGGATGTTGCAGATCGTTGTTTCTCTTTCACTATCCATCGGAAAGGTTTTGGCTGGCAATGAGCTCAGGAAATGACGCTTCTAAGCCATTCTTTATATATGAAGGATAACTGGCTGTTAAAATAGTATAAGCTCAATGCCCCAGTTTGAAGAGGCAACCGTTTATTTTTTGTACAAGGAGGTTCCAATGACTTTTAGCCATTAGATGTAAAATCCAATAGATGAAAATGTTACAACGTTCGAGAATTTTTGTTTGTACTTTGTGCCCAAAGAACGACATCATTAACCACATGATTTCAAATCTAACGATCAATGATGATTGTGATACGATCTCATTGTATACATTTCCTAAATTAAAACATTTTTTTAAACAAAAATTACAGATTGCTTAAAAGAATATATGAATTTGGATGGGCAATGATTTCATGCAACAATGATTTTGAGTTTATAAAGGTTAAGATATTGAAATTCACCAAATGAATGGTCTAAATTCGTTTTTAGAAATGATTCATTTTGACCATATCTAGGGTTCAAATTGAAATATTTTTTTTTGGATTGATTATTGAAATGAAAAGAGTGCAAAATTTTGGGTCACACAAATACCACAAACATGGTTTTTTTAGAAGTTTTGTTGCATTATACTATAATACAACCGTTGTATGAAATCACCGCCCTACACTTTTAGATAAAGAAAGGGGGCAAAAATGAGTAGGGGTGTGGTTTCTATAAGGTCGTAACCTTAAACAATCCAATTAAGGCGCAGCTCCAAATTTTATCATAACATGTAATTTTGTTTATAAAAAATTCTTAAGATTACCTTAAAATCTATTTTCATATCTAATTAAAAAATGAACAATAATCCAATGCAACGGTTGTATCATAGTATAATGCAACAACACTTCTAGAAAACCATGTTTATAGCATTTGTATGACCCCAAATTTTGCACACACACTCTCTTCATCTCAATAATCAATCCCCCCCAAAAAAAAATTCAATTTGAACCTTAGATACGGTCGAAATGAACCTCTTCAAAAAACGAATCTAGACCATTCATTTTTGTGAATTTCAAGATCTTAACCTTTAAAAACTTAAAATCAGTTTTGCCTTTTTTAACATTGTTCATCTAATGATAATAAAGCCATTCAAAAAAATTAAAAATGAAAAAATTCTTCTTAGACCTAGACCTAAATATCTCATCAAAATGAATGGCCTATGTTAATTGGGCCAAAAAAATCACTTTCTAGATTGTGTAGTGTATATTTCAAAATTTGGACAAATTGTTATTACACGATTTTTTAAAGTTGTTGCATCATATTACTTACTATACAACAGTTACATGAAATCATTGCCCTTAAAAAAAAAAGAAAGGACATACTTGTTCTCAACTATACGCTTCTTAGAATGCAACGGAAATTCCAGATTTGTGAGATGCTAGAAAGCAATTGGCTTCTTTTCAAGGATGTGATACATGAATTATAGCTTTTACATATGCGTGGGGCGGGGTAGATGTGTCAGAATGAGTTGCCCATGGAAGGATTTCCAAGATGTTTACAAGAAATATAATAAGGGCAAGCTTTCTGCTTCCCCTACTGCATAAAACTTGTATACTTCATAGAACATATCATAGGAGAATAATGCCCTCATAATGTGCCCCCTCATATAACACTAGTAAAAGAGTAGAAACCCTAGAAAGATTCAACACAAACGAAGCATATTAGAACTTAATGTTGCAAGAGGAAATATAAACTCTATTTGCCTTTTCCTTTGCCTCTGCCCTGGCCCTTTTTCGCTTCCAACTTGGCCTGCACACGAGCGGCAGCAGCTGCTTTTGCTTCTTCTCTTCGTTTCTTTTCTTCTTCTTTGTGAGCAGCAGCAATCTCCCTCTGCTTCTTGAGTTCCCTGATTGTATTCAGCACAAAACAATTTCAGTATAAATGAAAATTCAAAACAAATTCTGCTTCCAACTATTACATCATACTTCAGCAAGTGAAAACACACCGGACTCTAACCAATCAAAAAGGAGAAATAAAAATGTAGTATGTTAACAGTCCGCTGGGCCGAAAACCATAGTCGATGGGATCATTACTGTTCAGTGACAGTGATGGCGAGTGTGCAAGACCCAGCAGACATGAGAGCCCAGGTAAGTATCCTCTTTCCATCACTGTCCGTAAGTCCATCAGATGGTGATAACCCCATAGATTATGTAGTATATTATAATAGAACAGACTATAGCCACTATACTATGCTTTCCCATTCTGTAAACCACCGGAAAAGTTCCCACATGAATATAACTGCCCAAAAGCATATACCAGCAACAATGCAATGAACATGGACTACACCTGAGGAAACCATTTTCTAATATTTGCATTCTTAAACGAAATAATTTCCAGATTTCCTTTCTGAAAAATGATGTTCAGAATTTCAATACCTAAATTCCAAATGGTAAGAGGGTTTTGTGTTCAGAATACCAAGATAATTTTGGAAATTTCTTATAGAAGAAGGATTTCTAAATAAAATATATAAGAAACACTGAAATGTTAGGGTTTATAAGAGACATTGTTGAATAAGAACTTACTCTAGCCTGGCTTTTTCATCAGAGACGCTGCCAATAGTTGAACCTTTGCGGGGTCGACACGCAACCAACTCAACTTCAAATATAAGGGTTGCACTGCCAAATAAGAATAAACCATGCATTAAATAGCAATACATCATAATATTATGGGAAAGCATTCTAAAATTCAATAAATGAAGGAAATCATAGTCCATTGGGGTCATCTCTGCTTGATGAAATCCTCGACACTGATGAGGAAACAGGACCAAACATTGGGGTCATGTCCTGCTCTAGTGAGTAATCAATGACCCCATGTCCCCAAAAGACTATGATTTATCCTGGTTCATAGGACTCTAGTATGCCTTCCCTTATGGAGAATATTTTCTATAGGACCATGTAATTGGGAATGCACTTGGCCTTACTTTGGTGGAATATCAGGAGGTGAGCCTGCACTTCCATAAGCATACTCCGGCTTGCATGTGATTTTTGCAACCTCCCCAACCTAGAGGAAAGAATTTGGAAAAAGCAAGAACCATGGATTTTTGTGTCTGGAAAAGTGTTACTAGTCCAGAAACTTAGAAGGATGGAAAGCAACATACCTTCATGGTTCTCAAGGCCACATCCCAGGCCTTGATCACTGTGCCTTTTCCAATTTCAAAAGAGAAGATGGTGTTGTCCTCATGGGTGGTATCAAAAACTTCACCAGATTCAGCCAAAACACCTTCATAATGTACTGTGTAGAAAAGACAATGAATTAATCAGTACGAATCATTCAATAATGATTAATGAGTTCACTTCCCGGTTGTTAAAACTCAATGGGAACCAAATATTAGTGATGGGCCAATGTTGGAACTTGCTAGGGTTCCGAGCCTGAGTTTGGTTGACAGACTCGGCCGTGTCTTTCAGAGACTTATATGAGTCCAAACAATAATAATAAAATTTAGGAAAACGGCCAGCCTCGGTTGATTGCCATGGGATTTTTTCTACAATTGGCAGCCTGGTGAGCCCAAGTAACTCAGGAGAGTCTGTGTTGGACTCACCGAGTTTGCCCCCCAATGGTTAGGACTCACGAGTGTGTATAAGGTTCATCAATAGATGCATCTACACAGTGAACCATAGACAAAGGTACAAATCTTTGGCGAAGTACCATGGCAGCCTGAGTTATACAGGAAGAGTTTAGCCATAATGTTTCTGTTTTCTTCTGAGTTTCTGACATCACCGAGGAGCAGAAGCAACCCTTTGAGGAACATGCTGGATTAATAATAATACGACTATTTTCTGATCGATACAATGCAAAAGCTTGCAGCTTTACAAAACAGCGTACTTGTCATGAAAATTTATATGGTTTCTTTTGGTTCAGGTAAAAGCACTTCACTTTAGAGAATAGTAAGCAATAGAAGTAAATCTTTTTGAGGCAATTGAAATGCTTGGTCAGAAACAAGACCTGAGCACAGTTGAATTAGATGGAATTGATGGCTCCAATCCTGATAATCAAAGCCCATGACCATGACCTAGGGCTTCACCATTTGGCGATTCAATTAGCTAACGCACCCCTACTGTGACTTCCAAATCACCATCCTCGAGATGATAGCCAAACTAGTATGGACAATCACATCCACGCACTGACAGAGCACATCCCCTAGCCCTCTTTGCATTAAAGTCGGAAAAGACTACCTAACAGCCATTAGATACCAAATTTGCTACTCAGAAAGCTTCATCGAGTGAACAGGCTGGATAATGAAGACACCTCCGAAACCTATAATAAAGTTCTGAAGTTCAAAACTGAAAAAGATAGAGAAAAGGGTTAGATAAGGACCGAGGAAGGTGCTGAGAAGGTGGCAGGCATTTTGGAGACTCCGTCCTACTCATCTCTACCGTGCTAGTAAAAACCAAACTAACCATGTAACAGCCAAGGTTACCTGTATTATAAAGTATAAACACTGAAGTTAGCTTTAAGCAGGTAATTGTGATGGATTTCCACTCTTGATAGCCTGAGGCAAAAATGGGTTGAGCATTGGTTATGAGAATTATCCAAGGCCGGCATTAGCTAAGGCACGGGTAACCAAATCAGTAAGTCTCAAGCCCACAAACCCCAGACTACTCTTTCTTTACAATAACACAGAAAGTGGAAACAAGAATCCAACATTATTTTTTTCCACATTTCACTAATACATTTTTGTTAGAGCTCTTATGCTTAGGTGTTGCCCCAAATTGTTTGTATTAAAGAAAAGTAACTAACTCCTAATATGGGGATTTATGGCCTCTCCGAGAGTATGACCCTTTATAGAGAAAAATGGTGGACTAGGATTCATGTAGCTGATCCCAAATAGTTGGAAAAAGATTCTGATTATGATGATGATCTGACTCCTAATATGAGAATAACCGGAGATAACAACCAGCAAATGGGAACAAATTCACTCTCAGCCGCATATGACTAAGAGCTAGTCTATTGTATCTATGGGTAGGAAAAGACTTCCAGGAGCTTTAAGCTAACCTGTTTCATTGACATCAATCCAATATAAAGGACTGAGTGCCTTTGAATTGGGCTTCAGAACATATTACGGATCTCAAAGAAATGTAAAAAAACAAACATAGCATCAAGAGATGTATTGAAGTCCCTACACGTTTTTATAAACACAGGGATGCAAAGTTGCTCTTTTCAGTGTTACATGGATACCGATACGCATGTCGATATCTAATACGTGTCAAGAGTCTAGTATTTTAGGCTAAAATGCCAATATTTCCCGACATTTCCGTACAGCTAATATTTTTGAATAATGTGTATATATAATATAAATTCCTGAAATCATACAACTAAATCGAAGCGTCAGGGTGGTAGGGCTGGCAAACTTCTTCAAAAATATCCTCTTGAGAAGTCCCATTATCAAGCCCCACCGCTTTGAGTTTCATTGTTTTCTACTATGAATATTTTCTATTATCAATAATATATATAAAGAATGTCAATATTATGCAGCGACATCAAAGGTGCCGCTATGGTAGCATTCTGGTTTCTTCCCCAAGTTGTCCAGGGTTCAAGCCCTGCCTTGGTCCGTTTCTGAAGGCATTAGCATTTTTTAATGGGGAAAAAGCTCAACAAAAAATAAATAAAAAGGGAAATGCATCGGTGGGAATCAAACTCCCAACTAAACTTGGTTAGACGCCCACTCTTGCACCTGGACCTTTGAGGCATAAGTGATCATAAAAAGCTAGACACTTAATGTGTCGATATGTACTAAAAAATTGATGGCCTCATCAGACATGTATGGTCAAGTGTTGATGCGTGTCTGTGATCTCGAAGTGTCCATGTAACACTGGCTCTTTTCCTCTTCAATATTGGCTATGAGTTGAGTCTAAGCTTGAGTATCTTCTCTCCAAATGGCCTCACAAAATCCCTCAAGTTACAGAGTGTGGTATAGAAGCACGCCGTCCCTCAGAAGGCACGTATGATATGAAAATGTCTCCCTTTTTCTCTAAGAGGTTAATGTGCTTCTGTTAAGCATTTGGAGTGATAAACATGGATTACAGATCATCTTTCTCCCAAACTGAGATGGTTTGGCTACCTCTCTCTTACAGAAATGTGAGAGGATAAACATAGCATATGTTAAGGACTTCCCAAACGAAAAAGTGGAGGTCATCCTAGGAAATCCTCAGGTTCATGTTTATCTGCCTGGAGCTGCAGCGAAGCAGAGCAGCAGATGAGCAAATTCACTCTTTGCAACATCTCTTCCAATGCTTGATGCCCTTTGATCTAAAATTTTGTGTTGCTAGATCACTCAAAGATGAATCCACTAACATAAATTTCAAGCCCAATGCATCAGAAATGATGGAGATATGGATCTTTGAAGACACCCTATTGCAGCTTCTGACTTTGTTCCACAATCATCTTCATTATGGCTCAAACTTCTTTCAAATCAGGGAATCACTGACCCTGAAATCTTGATAATCTGACAAAAGGAATGTATTAGAAATATCTCTACCAATTTTCATGAGAAAACTATTTTAAGATTAGGAGAAATCTATGCTTGAAGCACTCACCAGATACCGGACTACAATCTGCTGATAACAAGCCAATTGTTTGTTAGATCGGTTGCAAAATCCAAATCCATGAGGAACAGCCCCTCCCATGGACAATGGAGGATTCGGTAGAAACATTCGTTCCTAATTTCATGAGAAAACTCCTTACAGATTGGGGGAAATCTCTACTTGAAAGACTATAGATAGGAAGTAAGTCAAATCATCTTCAAATGATTTGAAACATTGGAAATAAGCTTATCATGCTTTAGATTAAACTTCTAGCAAGTTTCATGCTAATTCAAGATGGTGCGATTTGGGACCGGCAGCCAAGCCTCGGCATATCCTGGCGTAAAGTGTATCCAAGAAGTATCAAATGACCAACTTTCTATGATAGGCTTATAATGCCTTAAAATGGAGATATGCAAAGTTTTATCCCTTTCCAATATTATTTGTAGGGTTTCACATGACCAGTCGTCAGTGCCTCATGTGAGGATACTAAATCTCATCCAAATCTTATTAAATTGGGGTGATAGGTTCATTGCCCTAAAATCAAGATCCCTAAAGTTTGATCTCATTTCAAGATCATTTTGATGGAGTTTTCAAATGGCCGATCACCAAGGCATATCTGATGACCAATTGCCAGGACTACCAAGACCATGGTGACAATGCCAAGGTGCATATGCATTATCAACCCTGATGAAGCTTTAAAGAATGGGTTGTAGGAGTATGATTCCAACTACACATGAAATCTTAGGCTCATATAGGAATGGCAATGGGCTAAGTGGCACGGCCTGGCTCGATTTGAGCATGGGCCACAAAATGTGGCCCAAGGGCTGGGCCACCACAGCACTGAGGTTCAAGCAGGACTGGGGCCTGCTCCAGGACCACGACAAGGCTGGCAGGCCAGGTAGGGTGAGGCCCAATCCTCCTTCCTTAGACATTTTTGTTTTCTTTGATTGCCTTTGGCCTGGCCCGGCCCGGCCCGGCCCTAACAGGGCAAGGGCCAGGGCCGGGCATGAGCCAAGGCCTCCTTGGCCCGGTCAAGGTCGGGCCAGGGTAGGGCGAGGGCTAGCCCAGCCCAGGCCCCGTGCTCATAGGAGCTTCTGTCACCAAATTTGGATTAGATCAGTTGCCAAGCTATAGAGCAACGGCTGGTAGCAAGTGACCCTGAAATGGGTCAATCTCAGTCAGTCACATTGGAACTTGAGTTGGAGGTTTATCATCGTTGTTGAAAAATCTCGGTCAGTCGCAATGAAACTCGGGTTGGAGGTTTATCATGCCTTCAACAACCACCGATCCAATTATCATGTGAATCTAAGCTCAACATGGTCAGATCTAATAGGGATCTGCGGAAGGCTCATCAAACACCCTTGGCAACTAGCGGGTCTTTTGCCTCTCTTTGTATCATCTGAGAATAGTTATTTAGAGTGTATTTGGAATTCTATCATGATGCAAAACAAACCCAAACATTATTTAATAGGAAACTATTTTGTTTACCCAATAAGGGCTAATAAGGCCCAAAACCATATCTTACATGGGAGGCCTACAAAGTGGCCTTTGTGTTAAAAGCTTCATAAGCAATCATGCCACCCAACCTAGTGAAAGCCTTTTCGTTTCTACTAAGAAACAAATATGCCAGAATTTGTACATCATTGAATATGTCCTTTTAACTAGAATCCTGAAGAGGCCTTGGCGTCTAACCATACTTCTTGCTACACACTGTGTTAGTGCATCCTTTCTAAGTCTCCAAATCAACAAAGAAAGACCAAATGCAAACTTCTAAGCACCAAAATTATACATCCACTTCAACACTATAGAGAAAACCTACATTCACTTCACACCAATTATAGGGAGAGAGAGAGAGAGAGAGAGAGAGAGAGAGAGTATTTTAGGATGCAAAGACTATATCCTATGATATTTTCCCTTTCATTTGTGTACTATAATCTTCATGTTTTCCTCTTTTGTAATAGTTCTTTATTTTTGTAACATAATTAAATAAGGCCTTTTTATACATAACCATCAATGATGCAGGGCGACTTCACGCAATGAACTATAGGGGCAATGTTCCAGCCATTAGATGTGTTTTTTTCAGCCTACTTTGCCGAGCAAAACTGGGCTCATAATATCATTTTGACATCAGCGCGAAGAGTTATGGCTTATGGAAGTCAGGGTATTGTTTCAAGGTTCTATCAGGCTTGTCTTATTGTTATTTTCTTTAGGGAAAAAGGTGTCATTTTGAATCCATTGTAATTAGAAGTTCCAAGTTATATTAGAATTATGATTTCTTGAGGCGTAAGTTAGATATTAGCCTATAAATGGGGTCCATATAGGTTTTTGGAATCAGAGTTTCAGATTATCTTTCGTAAGTTTCCGATTTTATCAGGGAAATGCTAGAAGCTGGGCATGTAAGCTTCTCCTTTTATTTTTTCAATGAAATCATCAGAGATATTTTAGAGTCTATCCATTCTTTGTTCAAATTTGATCATCTGGTATCAGAGCCTTGGACGCTCACATTGCATCATATGATATCCGAGCATGTTGTCTCTCTAAAAGCGATCGATAAGTTGCAAATTTGGGTGATGCCAGCAAGAGGACATGGAGGCTGTGGCCGAGATGGTTGATCCGGACCTACACATAAAGAAATCGCTTATCTGGTGAGGAGATTCGAGGAAGTGGCATAAAATGTCATCATACCACACCTTCTCTAAATGAGATTCAGTCGTTCATTACTGTGAAAGGTACGATTTTGCAGAAGACATAAATTTATTCCATAACCAGGGGAGAGAAAATCCCACATTAGAGGATCAGTTGGTGCATATGTACTCTAGGACAGATCTAGGAACTCAGGTCGATATGCCTGAATTTACAGGTAGATTGCAACCCGATGACTCCTTAGATTGGACCACCAACGTGAAGTCCTATGAGTGAAAAGAATTACCAGAGGAGACAAAATTCGTACAAAATGCATAGCTACTCAGGTTAAGGGCCACAAGATGAAATCGTGTTGAAGAAGTCTGTTCCATCTTATTATGCACAAGATCTATGTCAGAGATTTTGTCATCTTCAAAAATGGAGTTGAGCATGCAAGAGTAAAAATATGAATTCTACCTATTGATGAGCTGAAACGAGATCATTGAGGATAATAATCAGCTCGTTGCAAGGTAGAGTTATTTTGCACAAATTTTTCAGTCCCGATGAAGCATATCAGCTAGCCTAACAGTTGAAATAAACTTGAAGAGGGCTTTGTAAATCGCCCCTATGGTCAGGGATCTTCCTCGATTTAAAAAATAGGTGTGCTGTAAATATAAAACCGAGAGATGTGATTGACAAAAACTCACGGTCCGGTGATGCATCTAAAGCAGGAAAAGGTCCAACTGCAAACGACCCACTTCAAATTCAAGAACAAAGTCCAAAGTGTTAGTGCAATAGCCTGGGCATGGATCCTTTCAGTGCCCTAAAAGGCAGGCCTGAAGACAACTTTACGAGGGTGATGACGAATATGAGGGAGCCATCGAAGCAGAGTCTATTTATGACGAGGAGCCCGCTGAAGAACCCAAAGGTGATGTCGCTGATTTCTATCCCAATGAATGCAAATTTCTCATGATCAAGTAGTTATTATCGACCCCGAAGATGATAGAAGAACCAACGCTTCAAACTAGTGTTCATTATTCTCTATTCATTATTCGAATTTGCATCACTCAGGCATGATTTGCATTTTACACTTCAAAGCCAAAACCTCGGAACAATTTCTGCCAATTTTTGTGTGCTCTATAAACCATGGTTAACAAGAACTTTAGTAAATTGCTAGTCACGGTTAAAATTTTCCACAAAACATTTTTTTTCTTCTTCTAGACAACTTGGAAGTGCACTATAGGAAAATTCAGAAGGAGGCTAATACAGGCCTTCAAAAGGTTGGTCATCTAATCATTTAAGGACTCAGAATAAACCTAAACGAATCAAGGAGCATCTAGCAGTTTAATTTAGTAATAATTTAGTAACACTGTCTCAACCAGTCCTAATTAGGTAAGAGATACGAGGCATAGGGTTTCAAGCCTAGGGTGTGGCCACCCAAGGTAAGGCAAACGGAGCTGGTCTCTTGGGATCCTAAGAAAATTGAACCACAATTATTGTAGTCATTTCCTAATTTCTGACGAGGAATAGTTCTTTGACAACAAGGATTTCCCCAATTATAAGTGATTCTTTTATATTTATAAATCAAAGAACTTCCAGTCTTTAGAGCTTCTATAGGTGACAACACGAAAGCTCAAGAACTATGCATGCACTAAAAACAAACTATATTGGGACAGATCGTTCCGAAATCAACATGATAGTAACAGCATATATTTTTCTCTGATATATCTGATATAGTTTATGCCCTTGAGATATCACTAGAAAGATGACACGACTTGTAAGAGTTGATGACAGGATGGATATCAGAAACTTTGCCTTGTCACATTTCAAGCGTTCCATCATCCACAATAACAGTGCCTTTTGCGTACTTAATACGATAATAGTTACATTTATCCTTATTTATTCGTTCTTTCATTGCCTATAACTCGACTCAAAGAATAACATAAAACAGAAATAAAATACAGAAACTAAGAATACTAGAAAATTGGTCAACTATTTAAAGAGTTAAATGCACAAGAGGACAAGAAGACCTTTGCATTTCTTGAGCAATATCAGTGTCATCATCTGCATCTATGGGTTACAGGTATTACGACGAATGATAAACCTAATTGGAAACTGTCAATCAAAAGAAAAAAATACACGCAAGAAGGGGGTGGCCATTTACTACATTTGTGGCAAAATTGTATATCCAAGAATGTCTAATTGCCATCAGCATGCATATAGGGCATTCAAGATAATCAATAGAAGGAATCGTGTTACAACTGTTACACTGCACAACTGATAGCCATAATCTTAAAATATCGTACATACCATCAACGAGAGGAAGGTTATCAGATGGCAAAACCGTTTCTCCTTTAGCATGCTTCACAATTGTTTTTAATACCCCTCCATCCCCAGTTAAATCTTGCACATCCCCCATGTTTCCTGGAATTCCCAACCTGGTCAACACAAACCACAGGACAATGAAAATAAAGAGGCTACAGTAAATTATATAAATTTGTTCACATATAGTTAGTAAATATACTATTATAACAGTTACTTAAAAGAAAATAATACATAGAGCTCTGTTGAAAAATAAAAAAGAAACATTTATGCTAGACCAATGATCTATCTGTCCGCGGTTTCCATCATGTTCACTTCTCAAAGTACCACTCCTCCATTTACACATTTCCAATGGTGTAGCAATATGTAGTAGCACGCAGTCGCATAGCCATGTTCTTATGGGGATTGAATGCATGGATGGTGCTCATAATCATAGTTGGGGATGGCAGAATTAGTCAGGACTTGTTTTCTAACCCTACGGGTATGTTGGTGTCTGAAAATAACACACCTTTGTTCAAGTTTTGGGCAGAAGCAGCATTTGGGTATTTTCTCTTGAGGGTCCCATAAAGTTGGAGAATAATAGGAAACAATTGTTCTATGCATTCCCCTTCATGGTTTCTGGACTTTTTTATACGGTTGTTTATGGGACCAGCAAATTTGCTAAGTGGCTGTTATCTCACTAGAACGGATGTTGGAGTACTCTACTGACCACACACACACATTTTGGAAGTTTTACCAATGAGGTAATACTAGTGCTCTCAGAGAGGATAAGAGCAGACCACCAGAGTATGCCATGAAATAGATGAGGGACTTCCAACCTTGTGTCAAAGCCAGACAACAGTCATGTTGACCTATCCAAACATTTTGCTATGACAGAATTTTTTCACGTCCAAACAACATCATCGACAATAGTAAGCCAAAATGTTTCAGGAGTAAGGCTTGGGGTGGAAACCATTAGTGTTACAAGAAAATTCGTCCATGTATCTCGTTCTCAAGTATCTCCTTTTGAAATACAAACAAGGTTAGCTTTATTAGTATATTGGCGAAAGAAATATTGCCAACACGGTTCACAAACCTCCAACAGATGAAAGTTTAGGCTAAATAATGCATTGAAAGCTCGATTTTGTTCTGAATGAAGTCTACTATAATCATGAAAATTTTTGGAGGATGATTGCAGTCACCTCACCAAATGAATGACAACTTCCTATTGCAACAAATTCTTTTATCATCTTCATTCCTATCCGTGTCGCCAGGACTCCTAACAAGAAAGGGTTTACTATGGTTTAGGATTGTTTCTTGTATTAACTTTCCTCATGATGTAGGAGCAAGTTCGAAAGACGCAAAACAAAAGAATATCCCATGATCACATGAGAAAGCGAGTAAAAGTTTCAAGGCCTCCTTCCAAATATTCTCTCATATGTTTCAACATAAACTCTATACAATCCCCAAACCTCTCAAACTAAAGAAAAACAAGCCTCTGAATCTCTAACTATAGCCATAGCCACAAATCCTAATCTCAATAGAACTTGCCTAAATGCCCCATGTCAATGCTAAATAGATAAATAAATACTAAGGGTCTGATTGGATGTACTGTTATCATTAGTATGGTAATTCACTAATTCAATAAAAGCAATCCTGATAATGAATTATATGTTGTTTGGCAGTGCCCATCATAAAGCTATCAGATGTGAACTTATAGGGATTTATTATAGATAACTTTCTCCTTCTGAAAAGTAATTTTTTCTTTTTTCCTAGTAATTCACTGAAAATCGCATGTTTTGGCTTGAAAAGCTAAAATAGTTGAAACTTGCTGAAAAGGTTAAATGACTAAATAACATGATACATAAAGCCAACAAGATAATATTATCCAGAGTATATTAGTTTTAGATAAGATAGTTCGTTCTAGAAAATATTAATTCTCATCGAAAAAGGCCCTAAATCTTCTAGAGTTTAACCCTGATAGAAAATTGGAAGCAAACTCAGGAATTCCATAGTAGTCGAGAACAGAAACATAAAACTGCTCCAGCTAATAGAGTGAAATTCAACTAAGTTCACTGCATTACATCTGGCAGTGAAGATGGTTCATGTTTCGCTAGTCGACCTACCCCAAATAGATATACAATAAGGCCTATATCGACGGCCAATGACATTTATTGGAATTCTTGATATAACAAATCCTCCAGAAATCCAAAGGAATCCGCATTCCTAGAACCTGGGAAGGCCTAGGAACTGCATCACCTCCCACTTTATAAGGTTGGATGCTGGCGATGTAAAAAGGAATGATCTGACACTTAGCTACAAAGAGGGCATTCTCAGGTTTACATCCCAGAGACTCTTTCTACAAAGCGAACCTAAATTTATGTGTGCTATTATTTTTGGTACTTAGATATTGCTTTTTACAATAAACAGATTTGCTACTCAGAATCAGAATAAATTAATTTAGGAAGGAGTAAACTTGCATAATTCATTATAAAGCGGCATTGCACTAACAAATTAAAAAGTATCATATTTGACAAATTAAAATGTAAAACAAGGCATCACTAGTTATTTAGTTAACAAAAAGAAAAAACATTTTTTATATGATTTTTTAAGTTAGTTATACTAAAAGATCTCTTATGATTATAACTTCAAACAAAATGCATTTACAGCCAGTGTTTTAAAATGCAGGATGCGGCCAAAAGCGGTGGGGGGGGGCGATGCAGTGATGCGGCTAGATGCGGCCCGAATGCGGGTGCATCGCGACGATGCGGTCAATAAATGTAAAAAAAAATTACAAAATCTAAAAAAGTAGGTTAATGCATAGAAAAAAATATGGATGTGATATATGCAATAGTAGGTATTTTAGCTTAATGATTAACTTCAAAATTATTAGCTGTCAGAGATTCTGTATCCAGCTATCCACTATCCCCTAATAGAAACTAGAAACTTGAAAGTAGCTTCATAAAACATTCAACAATAAGCACAAATTTGCACCATAAGCACAAAAGCACAACCATCAACAACCATAAGCACAACCATAAGCACAAATAGTGAAATTACAAACCAAACAATCAAAAGCATCAAATCAACATCCCTCGATTTCTTCACGACCTTTGAAACCCTCAATTTCTTATCACAAATTCACCCTAAAATCCCCAAATTAACAATCAAAAGCATCAAATCAACATCCAAGTATCAAACAACTGCCAAATCGAAGATTTGAATGAAAAATAAATTTCTGCAAAAATTTTTTTTTCCCTCGATTTGATGCAAAAAGAGCCACAAAAGTGGCTGGAAATCATCGTTTAGGGGGTTTAATACCCCCGCCCCCCCCCAAAAAAACAGTTTCCCCCATTTGAATGGTCAAAAAGGCCATTTTGCCCCTCCCTGAGGGGCAAAATCGAAAAAAATTTCAGCAGAAGGGGATGCGGTGGGATGTGATGCGATGCGGTGTGATGCGGGATGCGGCTACGATGCGGCCTGATGCGGTTGCATAGGTCAAAAGCGCATATGTGGTCAGTTCTGATGCGGAGCCCAACGCAGACCGCATGATGGGGTCGCATTTTAAAACCATGTTTACAGCAGATGTGCAACTGTTTAGTATAACGGAAGCGCATGAAAAACAGCTACATGAAGAGGCACTTTCCTTATTCATATCTTCGGAAGTAAATGACAAAATTGATACCTATGTGTCAATCAATGATGACATTTAAAGCTTATTGCAGCATAACTGTATGATCTACAATTTGGAAAATTATATTTCATAGATTTGTAAATGTCTAATGGTGTTCCAGTAACTAATTTAAAGGCTAAATGTCATAAAAATTTGTACCAATTTACCATAGAGGCCTTAAAACTAATCATGGAAACACCTTTTGGTATGATATCAGTAAAGTACACTAAGATAAGACTACATGTTTCTTATAGGTCATTCCAATAAACTTTTTTTGACCTTTTTTTTTTTTAATCATTACAAAAGATGGACAGTACCAGTGCAGGCATGTATAGTTACGAGTCAAGTAAGGTCTAGCTAAAAATGCTCCCTGAAGCGCAAGGCCTTCGCAACCATGTTGCAATCAATAATCAACATCAGCAAATGTTCATGTTTTGTAGTGATAGAAAATCTGGGTAGCCAAACAAATTTATGTTCCAAACCTAGCTAACTATGTTTGTTAACTTTAGGTGGTGGTGCCAAACTACTGAGGATGCACGGCATCCACACTTAATGATCAACAACAGCTTTGTCCAGTGGGTATTATGTAATATGTCTACTTTAGTTGAATGACAAGGCCTGCTATAACAAAATGATAGGTTCATGCCTCCTTGAAAATGCATATTATATTATGTTCCCAAACTTGTCATTCATCAAACAAATCATTAGCTATCATTGGTGTTCAGTAATTCGACCTCTAACTTTCCCTTTAAATATTAATCATCAAGAACCACACCATAGAGATGGCATGGAGGATGAGCATCATCGATGGAAAACACTGACAACCCCTCAAATCCCTAGTTATACCTAATCTTAGATGTTAGGCCCTTTCAAAATCAGGTGTTTAATTCCAACTGACTGCTAAATCGGCACACAATAATTGATATCACTCTTCAAGGGATAACGACCTATGCATCTTTCTGTAAATGAAGCTGCAAATATTTATGCAGAAAACGTTTACATAATCTACATTGATCTTCAGGACAACGATAAGGAAAAAACAAAATCGTCTCCAAGACATCCTAGGAATCATTAAATCCTTGTTGATCTGTTTGATTCTTACTCTTTTTCTTTTTACTCACTTTTTCTCCATTCTACATAATTCATCTCTTTTTGTTTGCCTTCATCACTATCAATTGAGCAAGCAAAACATCAACCTAACATGAGAACCTAGGATTAATCCTTAAAAAAAGCCTTGACAAGGGCACCAATCAGCCTATGCTTGCATTTACTAATCATTTCCATCTTCTACACCTCAAGTTCCGATACTTAGTCCAGCCATCTCCATTGGCGTTGCCCTTTCTCACTGAATTATAATTCTCATCAACAATCATTTATTAAAAGAGGAAATTTCTCAGCAACATATAACCTAAAAAGAAATTCTATGATAGTCATTAAGATACAGTAACTACGGTGATCCTCGTCTGGTATTCACCAAGTCTTCACTGCTTTCAAAGGATAAATATCAACATTAATGGCAGGTAGCAATCTGTATTCCCCCCAATACTATATATATATATATATATATATATATATATATATATATATATATATATACTATATTAATTATTAATAGTAGTAGTAGTAGTAGTAGTACGTTAACGTTTAAACGTTTAACTTACTTACTTACGTTA